CTATTTAAAGGGCACTTTTTGACAGTAATCAAGGCTGTCTGCCAGGCGTTTGGTGAACGCCTATCAACATCGATCGTACTTCTATGAAATACTTGAACGTGTAGTATCAACATCGATCGTGCTTCTATGAAATACTTGAACGTGTAGCTACCCAGTCACACGCACACACTTGACTGTTCAGCTCACAGTCGCTCACAGTTCACTGCACTAATAAACCCTCATCACATCTGGTAGTGCTTCTGAGGAGTGCCTGGACACTCATCGGCTCTTGCTCATTTGACTGATTGACTGACTGGCCCTGGATGCCTGCCGGCTTGTTATTGAGATTTTTGTGGAGTTTTAGTGCCTCAGTAGGTTTCGGGCGCTCTGAGGTTCTTCTCAGGAATCTTACCTTCCCGCCACTTTTGGCCGTTCAACGCAATATTTGCAGCGCGAAGGAAGGGGAAAGGATTCCATTAGTCTCCTGATGCGACCGGCAAGGGGTCTCGGCTGCGGCAATAGGTTTGGTTCAAGCGGTATATGTGAAGCCGTGGCTATGGGTTCTGGTCTTGGGAGACTGATAGTTTCAGGCAGCAAGTTTAGGTCTAGTAACTGTCCTTCCTCTTTTGGGAGCGGGCATTCAGTCGGCCGTAACTGATTGGCACGCCGTTTTCATATCGATGATTCGATCACGCCGCTGTAAATCACATGATTGATGCTATAGAGAACGACTCCAATAGCCCACTTTCCGTCCCTCAAACGACTCCAATAGCCCACTTTCCGTCCCTAACAAGTATACGGTTTCCAGGCCGGAATGTTGCCTTCCGTCCTGCCAGTGTTGATGAACATAAGTTTTCGGTCGGCAGTGTTGAAAGATGCAAGTGATCGATCCAGGCTATGCCTAGCAGATTAAGCTTACAAGCAGCAAGATCGACAACATCAGAATCACGGGGCATGCTGCTCCCCACAATTGAATTTACCAAGTAACGGAAGCTTATCACCTGAAGCATTTTTGGCGGAGTTCAGTGTTTTACTGAGTTTCGATGATTCGATCCTTCTCCAGGTTCTCCGAGTAACAGTTGCAATATAGGAAGCCCTATCAAGCTGCAATCGAATCGTACTTCCGTTTGCTCTGACTGTGACGTACTTGCGACTAGCATCGATCTGGTTATCAAATTTTGCAACTATTGCGTATAAACTGGGTTCTGACTGGCTCTATCGGTTTCCCGACCTACGGTTTTGCTGCTTCTTGCTTTTATTGCACCCACGTTGGTTGCACACTAAACATTTGTGCTTTTTATGGGGATACAGTCGGTCCTGGTAGATAACTTGAACTGTTCGCATCCAACGGTGACTCTACCGTCATAGATTATATGGTCTTTGGATTCGTTTTTCGCAGGTTTCATAGATTTGTGGCGAATGCTCAACAAAGAGGAACGCTCACTGAAAGTTGTCAAGAGGGACCACACACTCCTTTCATTAAGTGGGATATCGTGTATTATTAGACAGAATTAAGTTGGAATACCGTGTGTGTTGCATGGTGCCGAGGTTTCTGAGTAAAAATCGCACTCACCACGTCTTTGTGTCTCGGTCCGAATATGAAGGCATCTTCGTAGCCTCTGAACCATGAATCGAAGGTTAGGGAGGCATCAGAGTAATAATGGAACTCGGTGATGCTGTTGGTGATCAAGTTCACCGAATTTGCATTTTTAGCGGGATTTGGTGGTTGAATTTAAGATTGGTGCGTCAATATTAAGCGTAATTGCGCCTCTTCAAACTGATTTTGTTGCAGTGAGAGAACTTCCTTCAAGGCTTCAGCAGTTATCTTCACGGTGCTGCGGGTTCTGGCGTTGCCAATGTTTTATATATGATTGCTGCTCCCACCTCAGTGCATGGTGCCAAAGACGAACTCACCGACAAGGACCACAACAACTCTATTGCAACAGCCGTGGGCGTGCAAAAGGAAACGTCGCAACGCCCTCGCACTAATTAAAGGGCACTATCTGATATTGATCCAAGCGCCGCTGACTAGAAGCCACCCAAATTGTTTTCGCCGAAACTATAGGGTTTGCCAAATCGCGACTTTGACAGGGAGTAAGTCTAATCCATTTGCATCATTCAGCGATATTTTGCTCACATTATTTTGTTTAAGTGAGGAAAAATTTGAAGTCACAGTCCACCGATTTACATTTTTCATGGGTTTAACTAAGCCTATTTTGGCCTTCCTCGATGTTCTTTGAAAACAAAATAACAAATGCAGAATATTCAATATAAGATACACCCAGGAAATACGGTCAATGACGCCTGCTTGCTTTTTGCGTCTCATATTTGACAAATGAGATAATTTTGTTCAGCAAACTTCGTCACTCCAAATTTTCTGATGGAGCTCAGCTTCCATTAATTGGGAGACTGTCAGCCAGCTGCATGAATTGTGCAGTGGCAATGCAAAAGACAACTCTGTAGCTGACTCCCTTCCTCAGATATGCATATCTAGCTTGTGAACAACGCAACGGCACGAGACGGCTGCAGATGAATTAGCAACACAAGAATATCAGCCACTTTAGGGATGTTACGCGCAATAAGCGAAAACGTAGCAGAGCGCAAATATGGTATTGGCAAATAAGGGTATCCATTGCCGGTGGCCATGATAAAGAAGGCCCTTTTCAATCACTTCGGCTACTCTTCATAACTGCTGTGTCCGCGCGATACCGCTTATCTTTGCTACCTGCACTAAACACCAGGCCAGTATCTATGCGAGCCGGCATAAATAAGGCTCCAGCAATGCGTGATAGGCCAATCTGACGACCCGTTATACTCATGGCTGTACCCCGAGTCCCCTAACTTGGCTATTTATCGTACCTGCTAGGTTCGTATCCATGTACAGTGTTGATTATGTGCGGTAACCGAATCCAAACCAATCCGTCATACCATACTGTACGCGGTGTCGCCTACCTTTGCTAGTAATATTAAACACCAGGCCAGTGTTTATGTAAACCGACGAAGATGAGGCCTCAACTATGCACACAACCGTAATCTAAGGCGAATGACCAGCGTCGTAGCAATAACCGTACGCGATATTGCCTACCTTGGTTACTATTTGTAACTGCAAGTCTAGTGCCTACATGCGACGCTGATCATTAGACCTCATCCATGCACGGTATCTAACAACCAACGACAGTCCGTTGTCCCACGAATATGAGCGCTGTCGCTTGTCTGTCACCCACAGTAAACACCAGGCCAGTATCTACTCTGGCCGATAAAAATGAGACGTCAACTATGCGTGATATTCTATGCTACCGGCCCAAGACGGCCCACCATACTAATTACCGAGGTCGATGTCACCTACCGTGGTTACTTATTGTATAGTATACATTGATCCTCCATCACCGATAATGAGAATTATGAAGCACCCGGTAGGTGGGAATATCAAACTTTATTACAACATGATTTTTGATTCCCCGTGTGAACAAGCGGTGAACAGCGGTCATTCTCCTTCATGTTCTGGCTAGTCATGAGTAACGTGACTTACGTCTGTTTATTATAATGGCGTCTTGTTTCCTTGTTGCTCATTTCCTCCTCTCCAGTAATTGATGTAAGTATTTTGTTGCTCGTCCGTCACTGTTTGCAAGTTCGTCCCAGTTCGAGCGTCCGCTGTGACAGGAAATCGGAACGACCAGCAATTGAACATGGAGCTCCTCGGATGGCAGGCGAGCGTGTTGCCTACAGCACCAACTTGATACCGGGAAGACCCTATTTTTGCATCACATACATACTACATCTGCCAGGTGGCCGTTTATGAGACCTGTTTCAAATGGACGTAACCGGGCAATCTTATTTGTCACGTGGCACGAGCCGTCGCACTGCACCGTCAACCAAAGACAGTACCTTACCCTCTGAACGTACGGATTAATTTCTGCTCCGTTATCTCTTTATGCGGCCCATCCACACTGACAGATTGACCCTATCTGAAGGTTTGTACATCGTCTGGTTATTACTTGCTGTTGCTTCCGGAAATATTTTATGCCTCATTGAACATTTTCCCGTCTCCTCGCGCCATTATTGACTGTACAGTTGCCCAGTGCACGATGCTTACTAGCTCGTACGTCCATAGAACCAGTTCCTGACAGCTCTCAATACAACATTTGCTGCCCTCGTCCGTCTGTTCCCATTTTCTACTGGATACGAACTCCGTGTAATCTACGTGCAATCATCCTGTGAGATCATCAGCTGTTCGGATGATGCTGCAATGCTGTTGTCGAATATATACATGATGTCCAATTAATCGAAGGTTTTCACACTCAGAATCCCCTCCCTTGAAGTTGGTCAGCTGAATACATATACTGGAACGACTATCTATTAGGTTTGCACCGCTCATCCAACGAATAAAAATGCTATTTGCCAACGGTGTTTCCGTGGATATTCGGTGGGCTCATGTCAGAAAGAAACGCCCCTGGATATTGGGTGCTTAATATAACTGGTCGAGGTGAGCGATAGCGCGTACAGGTAAGGATGAAGTACCGTCGTTGACCGCTGGATTGGTTTACCGTGAATAGATGAGATCTCATAATTACCATCGCACATAGATACGGGCCTAGAGGTGACGATGAGCGGTCGAGGTAGTCGAGTAGTCGTCGAGGTCAGTTATGCATATCTGGAAAGGGGGATCATCCCACGAGAGGCCCTCGCGTCATGGGGTGTGAAGCCTGCCCTGGGTGTTGGTGGGGCGAGTTGCAGTCAATTATGTGAGTTCAAGGGAAATGTTGGCTAGAGGAGCTATTTTATTGGGGATAATGGAGCAGGTGTAAATGCAACTCAGCAGTTTCACCCGGTATTCGAAGTGGCTGTAGGTCTTAAATGGATTCATGGATTCACTGATTGATGAACAGGAGCGAGGCTTTTGCCCAAGTTTCCCGGGTCGGTTTTGTTCTTGTCGGTCAGCGGCTGTCGTGCACCTGAAAGGCGCAAGTGAAAAAAGGGTGTAGCGCTGCTCTTTATGTTCCCAGCACATTGTAGTATGCTTGTCAGCGCGAGGATTCGCCTAAATAAATGTCTAATAGTGCTTTAAACTGGTTTCTAGAAGGAGCGCGGACAACCGTCCGAGGAAGGTCGTTCCACGCTGCTACTACCCGAAATGAGGAAAAATTTTGTCTAATGAATGTGTGCGCCCTGAGCTTGAAAATCTTACTATGTCCCCGCCGTGTTTGCAGGGTCAACGGTGAAAAAGCTGTTTGCCAAGCTTTGTTCAAACAGGGCCTAAGTAAGAATTAGGTCCCCTCGGAGGCGACGGTACCCCAAGGGAAGAGATCAAGCACCGCGAGACGCGTTCTGTAGTCTACGGATTTGAGGCCGGCAACCACTTTCGTAGCGGCTCGCTGGACACGTTCAACGAGGGTGACGTCTTTCGTGCGTCCTGAGTGGAAAACTTGGTTGGCTTATTTCAGGAGCCATCCCATGGAGTATTTGGAAGTAATGCGAGTAATACGGGAGAAGGTGCGTCGGATCATCTGTAGAGCGGCGAATGCCTTTTGGGCCAATTTCTCATAGTGGAATGAGGAGGACAAGTTTGAGGACACTGGTCGGGCGATAGCAAGGTGATATTGGATTTTCTGGAGTGGTGAGCATCCCAGCGAGCTAGGAGATCGATGAACGATGGATCAAGATAATTAACCAGGCTTGATAGAGTCCGCTTGGTACAGATGCTACGGCAGTCAGTTAAACACCTTGCTGTTTGGGTGGATCAGAAGGATGGTTTCTGCGTGGTCTGGCATTCGTTCTAATGTGGATGATAGTGTTTGGAAGGTTGAACGCGGAAGGGGTATCTCCGATATTGGAATATGCCGTTAAATGGAAAGCGCTGTGTATCTCAGGAAGCCACTAAAAGCGCTGTTAGCCGCTGTAAGTTTGGTGACCAAAACCGCAGCATCGTCGGTTTTCCGAGTTGGTATTGTAGAGGTCTGGCTACCCGGTAAGTTAGTTTACCAGGAGTGTGTGGCAAGGTTGAGTATACAAAAATAGAGAGGTCTGGTGGAACAGACTCACTAACAATTGTTCTCTCTAAAATAGTTCGTCGTTGGCCCAGGCCCG